GATTTCAAAATTAGAAAAAGGAGAGAAAGGATCTAGCATACTTTAGATTCAAATTTGACCATTTGAAACATGACGAGGTATTTTGTTAATTGTTAATGATCTATGTTATCATCAGTTTATATTTATGAATAATTAAATGAATTGCTTTTTGACTTTCAGATTGTGTGACAACCATATAGTATGGATTTAATGCATACTTTCTCTGCCATATGCACTGAGGGCATACATATTTGGAGAGCAATTGTGCCACTTATTTGTTTTTAGATATGTGAATGACACTAGCCCGACCATGTCATACGTCAATTTGGGATGGTACAACATATTCCTCATGCTTCTTATCAGCCAGACCAGTTACATGACATTACTCTTAGAGGGAAGACCGGTGACAGTTAGGAGTCCAAGTTCAGAGACATACTAGAGCATTGGGAGAGGAGGTTAGATTGGGTAGTGAATAATGAATCGCAAATTGGTCTATTAAGTTGAAACTCTGAATACATGAGGTGATACATTACTCATACTAGACGGTGGATGAGCAGGGATGCTACAATGTTTGCATTACTTGTAAGAATTATTAATAGATTATTGATCATTATTTACTTTGTTTGATAGATTCTGATATGGTGAGTAATGATAATGCAGGGAGATACTCATGAGAAGGCATATTACTTGTGTAGTGATGGTAAGGACACATTTTCATTTAAAGAGATAAAAGAGTTGTGTGAGACGATGTTATCCTTACAAAATGAGCAGGAATGCATCTTAGAGCCTTCATCTTCATGTGACCCTCCTATTCAAAGTGGAAATTCAGATGAACCTCAAATTGACATTGGTATGGATGCACAACATCGAGAAGGCAGAGGTTTGCAACGTCGGCAAACGTCATTTCAGGTATTTGGTTGTTATGCTTCATTGGGGAAATAGTAGATATATTATATTATTTAATTTATTTAATATATTGTTTGGTTTTTAAAATTGCAAGCCACAAATTTTACATTACCCTTTTTACCTAAGCGAGGAGATGGTGTTTCTTATGTCTCTCCACCTTTTCTATTTCACCCTTCGCAAGGGACACAATCATCCTATGTTCACTAATCACAGCATACAAATGTGACTCCTGCATCTCCATTTTCTACTGGTGAATATTATGTTCCTAACGCTACCCTTTTTCATGACACCTCTTCCATATGAGCCAATGTTCTTCACACTGAATGCACTAGGTGTAAGCACTCATCAAAGTGGACATGGTGGCCAAACAACATCATTACTACCCAGGGAGAAGCGTGGAATTGATCTTAATGCCAAATTCATTGGAGCCTCTAATGCAATTGGACCTGAGGTGAGACTTAACCTTTATCGTGGAGCTCAAGATCGTCGTTGACAATGCATTCTCACACCTTATGAGGAGGGACATCATGAGCAGTCCTTGGATTCTGATTAAGTATATTATCCTATTGTTTTAGAAAACATCGTTATTTTGACTACTTTAGTTTTAGTTTTTAATGTTGGTTGTTATAAGTGTGAGAAAATGTTAGTGAATTAGTTATATAAATTTAGATGGACAAATGGGTTATATTTTTGCACATTCCTCACATATGCCAAATCATTACTTAAGTGACATAAGGTAAATTTTAACTAATCAAACAACATACATTTAATTAAACTAGCATATGTTGACAATGATAAATGAAACACAAAGATTATCAACCAACCGGTGACAATATTACTCAACATCATTATTAGCACTGCTTTATTGTGGACAATGATGTTGATTGTGACATGACTGTCGACATAACCTACATCATTGTTGCGATTGTGAGTCAACCCAATCCATTTCATTTCTAATTTTAGAAGCATTTGGTCGTCCTTTCTCTCGTGCTCTCTATCTTGATCTGACAACAACTTCCATTCATCATTTTGTAAAATATTATTTTCAATTTCAAGCAGCCACCATTGAGATGAGTATGTGTTTACAACATAAACATATTGCCAAAAGTCTATACTTAGAGTAGCATAAGCAGCTATGACATGTGAACATGGGTATCAGTATGCCTGAAATTTGCCACATTCACATAATTGTGTACATAAAATCACACTTCACTTATGATCACCCCTTTGTGTCATTGGATTAAATGTCTCTTCAACTTCAAACCTTGTTTTCTATATGTCATAATGATGAACCTGATGTGAAGATATTTCTTCTTGATTTTCTTTCTATAGCTTCAATTAATTTACGACAATACCTTTTACCATTATTCATGTCATTGATTGCGCTCTTACCACGCTTCACAAAATATCGACCAATCTAGCATACATTGCTTTTACAAGAGTAGTAATTGAGAGATTTCTTGCTCTTTTTAAAACTTTATTCACTGACTCTGACAAATTAGTCGTCATGTGACCATAACATTGTCCTTCTTCATCATAAGCTAAACTCCACTTCTCCTTTGATATGTTATCATTCCAAGTTTGAACTTCAGGAGAATGTGAACGAAATATATTCAACTTTGCTTCAAATCTTTGCTTGCAAGCTGTATATGCTATATTTAAATAAGTCATAGGGTTAATGGTGAAAATTAAGTATATATTGATAATAAATCTAAATACACATATGTTATAAAAAACTTACCTAACTTCATAAGCATACTCTTCAAGGTGATATTTTTGAATCTTCTATTGAAATTGCTTGCAATGTGACGAATGAAATACACATGGTAAGCATTAGGAGGTTGCCACCCAATGTGTGGGTTAGACACAATACCTTTAATACTTTGACGGCGATCAGCTATCAAACAAATTCTAATCTTCTCAGTAACATTTAGATGAATCATTGCTAAAAACTATTATCATGCTAATAATGTTTCTCCTTCAACAATGGCAAATGTTATAGGAAGCGCACTATTATTGTTATCTTGAGTTATAGCAATTAGTAATGTTTGCTTGTACTTACCATACAAAAGGTACCGTTTACCTGTATTATAAGCTTACAAAACTTGAAGGCTTCATGACATTGCTTAAACGACCAAAACAATCGATGAAAGACTCTGAATCTATTATCCATTACAGTACCTTTAACATAATCATTCGTCTCGTCTCAATTTTGTAGACCGACCCTGGAGCATGTAATTTGATGTATTCTAACTATCTTAGCAATGTTGCATATGATTCATCCCAATCACCAAATATTATCACAATTGCTTTTTGTTATGCTTTCCATGTTTTTTTTTTGGTATAAAATTGAATACTCAAATTATCCTGTTATTCTCTCTTGGATTAGTGAAATGGGAACTGATGGTTCTTCTTTGAGCATACCTATCAATAAAATCAAACAATGTGTCTCGAATAAAGATCATTTAAACATCATTTTAAAACACAAACAAAAATAACATTAATTGAGATTCACGTACCAAGAATGCATGAACAAATAAAATTTGAATCTAAATCTTTGTAGTTTTGAGAAATCATAGTATTTAAGCAGGTATGCATACCACCCTATTTCGTAATTTTTCACTTATTTGAATTTTTGGGTAACAGCTCTTACTTTCCAAGGACACTTGGAATTATGATTCACACACTTTACAACATGAGTTGATGCTTTTGACTCAACCACAACAAATGTTTGATGTTTCCTCATTGCATAATATTTTTTCGTCATTTTAACCTCCTTTTAGAGTCAAAGAGTTGTTCAACATATAATGCATCTCCTTGTAGCCATGATTGTGACAAGTGCAACTCAGAAAAATCTAATTCTTGATCAAAATGTTCCCAATTAATAGCAGTGTAGTGTGAACTTATATTCCAAAAATGTGTTAAGAATCTATATTAAATTCAACTAATGTTAGTTAACAAAATTTTACAATTAATGTATTATATTAAATTATACCTGTTGTTGACCATACCTTGCATATCGGTATTTCTTTCAATGTTTGTATTATTGATTATTGAATCAAAATTATCATCCAAATCAATATTAGAAGAATTATTTAAAAAAATTTCGCTTTCATCTTCATAGTCATTATCGTAATCATCTTCTTCATCTGTAGATGCAGTATCACATATTTATTAATAAATTACTAAATTTTAAATATTATATTATTTAAATAAATATTATATATTATCTCTTCCAATTGCATACTCTTCTTCATTGTCACTAACATTAACAGCAGGAAGTGATAAATTTAAACCTAACGATTTGCAACAACATGAGAAGTTTCATCAAATATTCACATATAACTCAACTACATTTCTTTGATGTTGTTGTTGAAATGCATTTATCATACAATCAATAGCTTCATCATTAAATACATCTAAAATTGTATGGTTTTCACTCATTGCATAAACTAAAATTCGTAAAATTAGTTTAGAAATTACATTATTACTGTACAATCTCAATTTTGTATGTATCTTTTTTTTCAGCATCTTGAAAGTAATTCCACATTCTATTTTAATCATCTTCTTATTCTCTTCAAATATTATACCCTCATTTCCTTCATACACTCTTCCATTCCAATATAAAATAACCACAATTCCAGTCATCTTGCATATTAAATTAAAAATACAAAAAAGTATTATGAAAATAAATTAACTACTTAAACAAATACTAATAGAAAAGATATTACAAAATTATTAAATTAAAAGAGATTTATATTTACATTAAATAAAATTAACATAGTACTACAAATATTTTTAATTTCATAACTTTGTAATAATATATTATTATTTCAAACTTAATTGCAAAAATTAAAAAATTAAAATAATAAATTATTAAATATCTAACCTTCAACTTCTCCTACTCGTCGACTTCTCCTAAAATTTTGTCCACTAATACAACACCCATCGATCTATATATACATCTAAAATTAGATAGAAACCAACATATAAAAGAATGTAACCTCATTTAAATTGTAAGATAAAATCGAGTACAAGGTGTGATGCACGAGGTAAGTGTTGGCGTCAAAATTAACGATATATTATAAGTGTTGAAATTCAACTTACTGTGACACACAGATGTCGATCTACAGTATGTTAACAAAATTTCTTTGTTGACATTCCTTTTTTATATTAAATTATTTATATGTCGTAAACACATGCCAACACTTTTTTATTGTGACCCAAGCACAACATTTCTTTCATATCTACCTTATTTAGAGAAATTCTTTCTCTTTTCACTGCATATGGACAAAAAAGCCCCATCATGGGTTGTGTAAATGCCTACTCAAGAATTGTGCTAAAAACATTGACCCACACTATATAAGATGTCCTTAGGAGGATTATGTCCTTGGTACCCAACTTTTGCAACGCCAAATAAAAGGAATTTAAGGATTTTTAGTATGAATTTTTTACTGAATTTACAAGTTTTTCTCTTCATTTATCATCTTATTCTCAAACCCAAGGTCTTCCATATAAAACTCCTCCACTAATCACACATGCATCATCTCCCTAACTTTCTAATTTCAATCATTGTCTCTAAGAGATCTTTAAGAAATGTCATTCTCTATCATAAAATTGATGTTTCTTCTACAGTAGATTAATTATGAGATTTTTTTTTCTTTATTATTTAAGATTATAGATGTTTTATATTTAATTTCTTATATTTTTATTACTATGACTATGTATAACTAAACATTTATTATCATAGGGCTGCGATGAGTTCTATTAATTTCTTATTTTTTTTGTTATTGATATTGTTGAATTAATCAATGAAAGGTTAATTTTAGTTAATTAATTAATAAGCGATCATATTATTAACTGATTAATAAAACTAAGAGGTACTTTAAGTGTAAGAGGATTAATTTATTACATAAACTTTTTACTAGTTAATTGAATTTAATAAATTTAATAATTTATAATGTTTTTATTTATTTACTGACGTTACATTGATAAGATTATGATTAAAAGTAATTGTAAATTGTTGATTAATCCATGTGAATCGGTTGGTTTCATGGATTTTCTAATTCAAATCACTCTATACAATTTTTATCCGTACCAATTCAAGCCTCAAAGTTTATTCGGGAGACAATTATTAGGATCGGGCATCCAGTTGTAGTCAATCCAGCAGTAATAACTTATAATATAAATCTTGAAAAAATCTTGCCTAAGAAATGCCTCACATCTTAGTGAAGAAGAATCTAAAAGAATGAGACCCAAGTACTTTAATTTGTGTGCGCAAAGTTTGCCAGTCAGTCCACCACCACACAAAGAATATTGCTAAAGAGATGCCTCAGATCTTATGGTATCCATGAGAGAAGCGCATACTCCACTTCCTCATGCACATATTATATGCTCAACAATACAGTATATATTAAAATAGGGTAGCATAATGAAGCATTAGTTAACTATTGAATTAAAAGACTTTTTGTAAACTTTATTTACTTCATAAATTTATATTTTTCTGTTTAATTAATAAAGTTTATCATTTATACGTGTTTTTATAAGCGTAAATTTGCATATGGTGTCAATTATCTTATTTGTACGTGTGTATATGATAATGATATTCAAATTTTTAAATAAAACCCATAAATCAGAGTTTGAAATTATATGAATTAAATATTTTAATTCCTTCAAATTTAAAATCCTTCGTTAATCTTAATTGTGTAAACCATTTTATTTTTTGCAAAATAATACTAAAATATAAAGTAAAAAAATGACTTAACAAATTTTTTTAAAATTTCAAGACTTTAAATGCCTCACTTAATAACTTTAGGAATAATTAAATTATTTTCGGTACAGATCATATTACTCAACTTAGTTACCTCAAATTCAAGCATCTACAACAATTTTTGTCGTTTAGTGTAGCTGGTATCAAATTTCTTCACCTTCATGATACGTTGAAGCCCTCTCAAGAATTGCCAAATTACGGTGATATTAATGATAATGGGACAAGCAAAGCAACGTCAAACTAATTGTTTTGGACTATTGGTGTAAGCAAATTGCTCTTCTTTTCGTCAATCTGATAGAGTTAGAGACCCTGTAGATTTTCTATCGTTGATTAAAGAAAGCACTTGACTTAAAACCATCTTTGTTCAGAAAAAGACTTTTCACATATGTGGATACCAAAGGGAGTTTAGTGGCTATAACTTCAAGATAAAGGATATATATCCATGATGCAGAATATTTTTCCTTTGTGACTCATACATATACATAGTAGTACAATCAGAGACAAATCAGAAAAACCAACGGCTTTGGAGCAGAAAGAATCTAAGGAATAAACATAGATAACTCAAAAAGTATCTCGTGTGTCCATGGTGGTAAGTTTTGGCAAAAGCTTACACTGATGGCCACACATACCCTCCCCCACTTGCAAAGCAACAATTTCACAGTCACTGCTAATATAATCCCTACCCTCATTCCCTTTCTTCTTGATTCCTTCAAATCTCGTTGGTTAACTTGATATTAATTTAGTTTAACATTCTTTGGGATAGTACTACCCATTTTTAACTTGCTACTTAAATACTAAATCATGTTTATGGAAGGCACGTGAAGGTGTCGGATTTACATGGTCCCACTTCCCTATCCTCAGGTGCAAAACTTAATTTAGCTTATTTTATACTCGTGAATCACAAAAGAGATTATTGTTTTTTCCTTTTTTTTAATCTATGATATGGTCTGCTTTTGTTATTTTCGTACAAATCTATGTGACGGTCCGTTTTATTTAATACCAGGGGATCATCGAGTATAGTAGTTTATACACATAAGACAGATTCTAAGCAACATCCTAGATCAGACAATTCCTCAGTCAGTGAAAAATGTTGTCAGAATTCCTTTGCTCTCACATTTCAGGTTGGAAGAAGAGTCTTGATATCACATCAAACAGAAGTTGAGTGCATGAAGTGCGATTAAGCTACTATAATTAATGAATAAACTACAATAATTAATGCAAGTGGGCAATCCTTGATTAGAACCGCAAGTTCAATGCTGTGTGATTGTGACCCTTCATAATTTTCAAAACAAGAAAATCAAAATCAATAGTAGGGTTTGTTGGCATTTAGAAAACACAAATACATTGTCTTATGAGAGGACTTAAATTTCTCAAATCTAACAGTCAGATAAAACAAACAGAAAAATAAAACAAAAACTTGTGGCAATTGAATGAAAGGATTTGGCAATGGGCACAAGAATTAAGGTTCATTAGCAACTAGAGAGACTAGCTTTCCCTGAAATTAATCCATGGTTTTTCTTACTTTTGTATTCGTTGCATATTCTGATATTTGCCAACTTTGTTAGCACAAAGTTATTAGAGCGGATTCATGATTATTAGCACAAAATCAAGCAACTTTGTTACCGTTAACCTACGAGTCATAAACTATCATATCAACGTAAGGAAAGAGAAGCCTTGGAGTTGGAGGCTTTCTTCTTAGCTTTATAAACATACATGACAAGCCAAAAATCCTCAAAATTAGGAAAAAAAAAAAGAAAAAACAGAGGAAGAAAATCAAATATTGGAAGCATTAATCTGAGCCACCATCTTCAACATTAGAGAACCTGGTAGAACTAGTAGAAACACTATTTGAGGAAGGGGAAACTGGGGGTGGTGGTGTAGATGTCCATGGAACCACTTGATTTTCTTCATCATCTTCGTCCACACCAACATCATCGTTTTCTATATCATCGTCCTCCCCCGAGCCATCATCATCGTCATCATCGTGATCATCATCATCATGATTCTGTTGGTTGCAGGTCTCATTACTGTTGCTAACACAAGTGTTGCAAACGGAGATGGTGGGTACAAACTTGGGTCCGGTTCCGTGCCAAGCTGTTAGTGATTGACAAACATGGCAAAGAAGAAACCTGGGATGCTTGGTGACGAGGAAGTTTGCACTGTGAACCTTTGCATCGCATTCCCAACAGAGGCTTGCTTGATCTGATTCACAGAACAACTTTGCGGGACAGTTACAAAGCTCGCACTTCTTCGTCATCTCAACCTTCAATTGTTTTCTCTCTGTTGTTTTGGACACACAACAGCTACATATAGTAAATTGTCCACAACGAAAAAAAAATGGTGCAGGGCAAGTTGCAAGTTCTTGCAACTATTAAAATCCTCTCTTGTTTTTTGTCTTTCATACAAATTCTCACTCCTATATATATATATATATATATATATATATATATATATTAGTCCCGGAACCATCGGAAATTAGATTTCTTGAATGATGGCGATTAAGCTAAGTCTCTTTAACTTGGTCAAATTGGTCTTCATGTCAGCAATCTTAAAGATTAATTTACTGATTGAATACATATTTATATATCATAAATATAATTCGTATTTTTTAAAGACTAATATAGTCAAATTATATATTTTTAGATATCAATTCAATAATTTTTTTACGTGTATTAAAAAACATGATATAAAATAAATTGTTATGAAAAATTATAAATTTAATATTAGTAATATATTAAATTTTATAATATCACGTAAATTTTTCTAAGAATTTATTCACGTATTTTAAGTCACACGTTAAAAAATTATTATTTATTAAAAAAAACTATAGTTGTATATGACTTGGAGTCAAACAAGTTGGTCACCCAGTTAGTTTCAACACATTGATGATTCCAGTTTCGAGTTACTAGTCACATTGCATCCGCGTTTTTGAACTTGGTGTACTCGATTGGATGTTTTTAGGTGGATTTGGTCAAGGAAAATAGGATGAAGTCATAAAGACAAATTTCAATCTGGTAAAATGGTATTGGTATATTTTTTTACAGAAAGTGTTTCTTTGATAATAAAAGGCTAATAGAGCTAAATTAGGCCTTTTTGACTGTACCAAAACAAATGAATAGTTTCAAATACAATAAAGTAATTATCCCTAATAACTTTCAATTATTATCCTTAAAGCAATGGATAGTAAAATCGCTTTCAAATATATCGGTGCATGAATGCAATAATTATGGCTGTAACTTTCATATGATAGATAGAGATGTTGGAGAAATTTTAGACTAGTTTGCTTAAAATTCACATTAAGGAAGATTGAATGAGATTTTTCCTAAATTGCATATCGGACTAATATTTGTTCCAATAATTACAGTTGTTGATGCAAAAGCCATTAACAAAATGATTATGATGCCATAAATTGTAATACAGGCCCAACTGTGTGAGTTTGAATTTCTTCTTCCGTAGTGAGAATGAGGGTAGATAAGATACTGTTGAAGTGGCTTACTCGCTAAGCACCACCCAGAGATTGCCACATCAAATGGCACTAATTTTGTTCTTTTATTATTCTGATTGCTGACATTGTGGAGAGGTGTTACTCTTTGTTGTCACATGTGGTTGTTCCGTTGATGATCATGTACGGATGCACTTAATTCTGTCCCTCAGAAACAGAAAGTGAACAGAAAAATTGCATATGCACAGGCAAAAGCACAAGCACAAGCACTGCAATTGGCCAAATGCTACCTTTGAATTTTAGGAAGGAGCTTAGCATATCGCAGCCTCCCAATGGGACACGCGTCCAGAACCCAGTGATCAATGAATTCTGTGGGCTTGTTTTTGAGGTTTGCCTCAATTTTCTCTTGGATTAGGTGGTTTTGGTTTTGGTTTTGGGTTTGGCAACTCGGCATGTTCTCTGGTACCATTGCGAGCTTTGTGGTTCGGCCACGCCCGTTCACCAATATGTACAATATCAATCAAGCATACTAGAGTCTTAAATACTGCGAGTTATCAGTAAAATTTTCAAGATTGTCCGTCGTTTCGATTTCAAAACCAGTAAATTCTCACCTCAAATATATAATTTTATTAAAGTTAATTTTTAAAATTTTAAATTTAAAAATTTAATCTTTTGAAATTAACAATTGTCTATTATGTTATTCTTTATAGATTAAAATTAAATTACAGAATAATAATATATCATATTAAGTGATAATAAGTCACTCTGTATACAAAATTATGTTATTTTATAATATTTAAAAAATAATTTATTTTAAGCTTTTAAAATTTTTGACAATAAAATTTTTATTTTTTTAAGTTATTTTTTGTTTTTGCTCAGTTTGCTTTTGTAATAACATTTTTTTTTCTTTTATGACATTTGTTTCACCTTCTTTTTATTGCAGTAGTCTCATTCTTTCTTTTTTTTTAATTATTTTTTATTTAACTTAAGATTTCATATTTTCTCTTTCAAATGTAACTCAACAAACTTAAGTTTTTATCAACTTAAATTTTATCTCTTAACTATCTCTCTTTTTCTTTATTGTTACACTTACCAAAATTACTTTCAAATTTAACTTCTAAATGATGAAGTTTTGCAACATAAACTCTATTATAATGATAGCTAAAAGAAAAAAAATACGTTATGAAAGAAAGATAATGCAAAAGATTAGAAAGAGAATTTTATTATCTAAAAATGTTAAAATCAAAAACAAAAATAAATTATTTTTAAAATATTATAAAATTATGTCATTTTGTATTTAGAATAGACTGTCATGTGTCATTTAAAGTAATATATTTATTACTTTGTTATTCAATTTTAATGTTTCTTAACAGTAAAAATTAATGTGACTAACAATTACTAATTTTAAAAATTAAAAATTTTAAAAACTAATTTAAAAGACAATACATATTTTAAAGACTAAATTGAAGATTTGATAAATGATTTAGGTTATCATAATTACTTTATTTTATAATTATAATTTACTGAAAGAAAAGCACATAAATCTATCTCTCAAAATAAATTATTTTATCAATAATAAAATATTTGTAAAGTCATTCTATCTTACAATTCCCTTTTGTATAAATTTTATAATTAAAACACATTAAAAATTATATAAATTACATTTTTTATTGTAATAATTTTTTTGTTATTAATATCTTTTTTAATTATATTTTAAATTAAAAATTTTATTTAATTTTTCTTTATTACTTTATATAAATTTTGATATTTTTTGTAAATATATATTTTTATATTTATAAATTATCTTAATTTTTTTGTATTTTTTAATTTGAATTTCCTTTTATATTAAGTGTTAATATTTAATTTATTTTTTTGACACTATATAATAAAAATATTATTTTAAAATTATTTAATTTTATTGTCTTTATCAGTTTGATGCATATTATTTAGTTATAGAATTAAATAAAAATAATTTTTTTAAATTGTATTATTAAAAATAATTTAAAAATATATATTTAATCATTTATAAATATATATATTTTTTAAATAGTAAGTTAAATGTATGTTTATTATAAAATAAAATATCTTTATCACTCATATTTATATGCCTATGTAATTAAATTTAAAGATCTACATCCTTCAAGCATTATATTATAATTTAAATTTATTATTAAACGATAATAAGATAACATATTTATCATACTAACAGGAATGAGTAATTATAGATATTAAAACATTAAAACATATGTGATTGGTGAGTGAAAACACGTAGAGAGAGGATCTACCTTACATTCAGTTTAGGTTACGTTTGAATTTTATTTATTAATAAATTAGGTTAATTTTTTGAAAAGTTTATTTGGTTCAAAAAATAAGTTTTATGACATCTACAAAACTTTTTCATTTAAAAATGTCTATATATATAGTTTCCTTTTACTTTAATGTGTCATAATGTTATTAGAGTATAATAAAAAAAGGCATGTAAAAAATAACATCAATATTATTTAGAAGAATTAAAATTATATTTTATCATATTTCCATGCATTAAAAATATTTTTTTATTATTGTTTTATATTTTGTAATTTGCTTCAAACTCTTTAATTAATGTTGCATTTTTATTGTAATATTGTAAAATTGAAATATAAATTAACAAACCTGGAACACTAATAATATAAAACACTCTGAACTTTGTTATTCTTTTTTCCCCGTAAAGTGTATTCATTCAAATAAAAATATAAAATTTGTATAAACATTACTCACACTAACAATTTCACACCCTTATTAATTTTGCAACGAGTGAGGTGGAGGCACGAGCATGCAATGAGTTGGTCATTAAGATAGGTTGCACTAGACCAACTCCAACACGGTCCACTTGTTGCACACTACACACCATAAGTTAGAGACAATCGATATGACTATGACAATCTATGGAATCGTCAACTCTGATTTTGATATGTGATTTACTAATTTAGGGCATCAAGTTAAAAATAGGAAAAGAAAGAGCATCAAAGATATTTTAAAAAAAAACTCACAAAATAATGTTATTTTAGAATTCTTGAAATAAATCAAAAGTGAATAATCTAATTCATTCAGATTAATCCATTATAGATTAAATTTAATGTTTAAAGAAGTTAACTCACGACTTCACTCATTAAATTAAAAAAATTAAAATTGTTTTGGATATAATATTTTTAAAATATATAATTAATCATCAATATTAATAAATCATTTTTAAATTATCAAATATCTTAATGTTTGTATTATTTGTATATTTAATTTTTATCATCGTTTATTTTTTAATAGTTATTTATATCAAATTATCGAATAACTTTAAATGTATTAAAATAAATATAAACATTATTGAGTCGAGACAAGTAGTTCATCCACAAGTTATATATACTCTCAAAGTTTTAGGAAAGTAATAAATTTTAATAAATTTAATCAAACAACAAAAGAAAATACAATTTTCAAATTTTCAAATTTCAATGATTTCAGATTGATGTCTAAGAACAACATTGAAAGAATGGTTTGATAAGTCAAATACCAACTTTTTTTTATCATTATTATCTTCATTTATAATTGAAAAATGTTAAAAATAATTTATTATAAGTAATTAATAAATTAATATAAATAACATAATTAAGTTATCAATTGATGAAAATATATTTAACCAATTATAAGTAATAAGTACTTAAACATTACTTAGGAGGCAATAATAATATTTGTTAAGCACATCAGCTGTTATTGTTAAGCAGATTCAGTCACACAGGCGACTTGAGTAGTGAAATAGAGATCGACACAACATAGCTCATTAATGTCACATAAATTATTAAAGTTGTATAAATCTAATTGCTTAGGTGTTAGAGTTGGATGAATCTAGTCGCGTAGGTTATTGATGTCACATAATTACGATTACACATGTCACTAGAGTTGCCTAGATTTAATTACATAGATCTAGTTGTATTGATTATTAGATTCATAAATTTAATCGTACACACGTAAACAAATAACATAATAATCAACAACGCAACATGAACGTTGAAAGAACTTCAGAATAAAATGTAGAAAAAATTACTATTTACAGTAACATGTAATAATCAAATACAAGTAAGAATGGAAAAGAGAAGAGAATAATTTTAAAGATTAAAATTTAATTTTAGATGTAATTATAAATTATTTATAAATTTAATATGTAATAATAATTATTAGAGGTTGTCTTGTGTTTATAATGAATTGGAACAATGCGGATAAAAAGAATTTAGATAATATATGGGTCAACTTTTAATAATATAATTATATATTTAAGATTAAACTCAAAATTATTAAACTGAAATAATTTATATCAATTGTGTTTAATAATTTTTTAAAAATAATTTAATCTAAATATTTATATTTTATAATTATAAGTTATATTTTTATTTTTAAATTTTTTTTAGATGATTAAGTTCTTCAAAATATTTGTTATGACAAAATATAAATAAGCATTTATTTATTTTAAAATAAATTCAACTAAACGTACTAATTACCATTTTCCTTAATTAATTAACTGTTAACGCCGTGCACTATAAAACGCCAACACCGATGCGTTTCGTACCCGTTTGTCAAGAAATTAAAAATTTTGGGCATTTAGGGATTTGAGTTTGCTGATCTCAGTCCTTTTCCTCACACACTCTCTCCTGCCATCTCCGTCGCTGCAACGTAGTGATTCAGGGGTTTTCGTCTCATCGTCACGCGCGCAGGTTCCACTAAAACTTGCCGAATTCGTATTCTAATTTTCTTCCTATTTTTCTCAATGCGAATTGAAGGAGACTTCTTCATGATTTCTTTCACAGTTTTGTAGCAGTTGCAGTTGAAATTACTGGTTAGTCTCTTTTCCATTTTTTACAGTTTAGGTGTTAATGTTGCCGCGTGCGTCAATGTATTCATCTTGTGACGTGACAAAAAGAAAATATTGCAAGATTATGGTAACGCTGTCGCTGTAGTTTATGATCGCAAGATTGTGGTTTCCACTTACGTATGAGTTTCTTTGTCCCAGAAATTGAATTTTATTAGTGAAAATCCAGGGTTTACTTGTGTTCAAGATTATTTAGAGTTTACTTGTCCATTTAGACTAACGTGTACGGGTGTTATTTTTGACAGGGTTGTTCAGTTCGTGAATAGATTGTTGCTTGTTGTGAAAACTAGTGGATATTGTTAAAAAAAACTACCAAACTGCTTTAAGAGAAAAATGCAGAATAAAGCTGTCTTGGAAGATGGGGAAGGAGAGTCTGTGACTGTTCCAGAGCCTGAATTTGATGAGTGGGGAAATTTTGGGGACGATGACATAATGCAGCAGCAATTTTCAATTCAGGCTGAGGAAGCCAAGAAAGTTCCATTTGTTGGTGACAAGGCAAGGCTAAGTGCATAAGTCTTTGAAACTTCTTTCATTTCTGATCTAGTGATTCTGGTTTAATTGGTTTACTGTATGTAGTGCTAATAACTTTCTTTCTCTTGAAGATCTGAATTTGATCCTTTTGAGGAAAAGGCCGCTAGTTATTAGCCTCAAATCACATTAATTTGTGTCCCTTTTATCAATATTATTATTCTATGGGACTTCCTTTCTTGATGGAGAGGGTGGAATATGATTTTAACAATGGGTGAAAGGACAATGATTTCATGTGACAAATTGGCAGGAACCACTATGTAGCTTAGCTGCTGAATATAAATCAGGCAGTCCTATCTTGCTGGAGAAAATAAAGGTTTGATAACCTTTTATATATATAATTTTGTGCTTTATTTTGAATCCTTTCTCATCTTATCATTTTTCTTGAGTTCTTCTCATACTCATTTGATACAGGTGCTTGATGAGCAATATGCTGCCATCCGTCGAACTCGAGGAGATGGAAACTGCTTCTTTCGAAGCTTTATGTTTTCATACCTTGTATGTTTTGGTGTAACATTGGATCACTATTTTGGGGTCTATGGACTAAGGAACTAAATATTCCAACGATTTGGCCAATGTTTAAATTATCATTAACTTTTTTTTCTCAGGAGCATATTTTGGCATGTCAAGACCAAGCAGAAGTTGATCGTATCAAAGCCAATGTTGAAAAAAGTAGAAAAGCACTGCAGACCTTGGGTTATGCAGACTTGACTTTCGAAGATTTTTTTGCGGTAACTTATCTGCTACATTCTTCACTTCTTATTTTCTGGGGTATACACATCTGCCTATTTATTTTATATTAAGATCTTAATATTTACTAGGGAAAATTGTCTAAACCTGACCAAAAATTGATATTTGTTCCAAATTCATGATTGCTATTTCTGGAGTATATTGCACTGCATGTACTACCTAAGCCCTCCTAAACTTTGAGGTAGCTGAAAGTAGCTATTTTTGTATCTACAAATTAAGCCCTTAAACTTTGGGAAATGTTTGAATAGATCTTCCGTCTATCCAGTTTTAATTTCTTAATAGTTTGTTAGCCATGTGAGAATTGAGTGACTACTTTTATTCATAGTAGTCAATAGTGGCCATAGGTGCAAAGCGGAGCAGCTGGGTGCCACTATTCCATCGCTGTTGTGTTTCAGTTTAGTGGCTGTCATGTCGCTAATTGCAACAAAAAGCGGAGCAAATCGCGACCCTTTCATCCTAGGGCGAAAGGGCAATCTTGGGATTTTGCTCCCCTTTTATATTTCTAAAAGTTGGAATGTTTCTGTCTTCGCAAGTCAAGATCGAACCCTACCTTCATCTTTGTTCTCTCATTCTCTTGTTTTGTTCTCCATTTTTTACGTCAATGTCTGGTGCAAGTTACCATTTCTGGCCAAGTTCCATCATCTTTTTCATTTCTAGTGAAACCCAACTTAATTCTAACGTGAGTGGAGACATTTTCCTATGATCTTTTTCATCTCTAGTGTAACCCAAGCTATTTCTGATTAGATGTAGACTTTTTCTAATAATAGTGAGACCTTTTCCAGTGAGACCATTTGCGTTTGAGCTTTTTTCAGTGACTGAACACCCTTTGGTCAATTTTTCAGAATAGCGGTCATCCCACTATCCCACTATAGCATTTTTGGATTCGGCCGCTCTGTGCTGCTATCAGAGATCGACTACTATGCTTTTGTTCATGTCTTCTCCAAAAGTGACCACTTTATATAATCCTTATGTAACTAAATTTGCTCATGTAGGACTTATTTTTTTATTTAGATTCTCCCTGAATTTATATAGATGAAGTAGATGACCTTAATTATCATACAATGGCTAGTTACCATCTTCAATGCCATCACTGCCTTCTCTTTATATTTCTCTTTCCCCTCAAATCTCTGAGGCTGAATATTGTGAAATCATACGCTGGAACCAAGGTCAACAGAAACAGCAAAGTTTAGGCCCCAAAATGCTGTTTATTAACCTGATAGCAAAGTGCTTTACGTGCATTGGAGCTGTGGTCTGGGTCTTTTTATGCATTGGAAGCTATTCAAAACTTCTTGCTTTTCTAATTTTTAATTTTCAATGATTGACCAAAGACGAAAATCAAAACTTTTAGTTTAAAATAAATGGGCCATCCAATAGAACATTATTGAGAGGAAGAATTTTGACATATTTTTGGCATATTGTTCTATTTATCTTGGTGAAAGTGTACGTTGCCAGAAATATGTTTAATATTTTTAGAAAATGCTTTGAACTAAAGGTCTGGACCCTTAGAGGTTAAACTAATTCTAAATTCATAGAGGCACTTCCAGAGGTTAGAATGATCAAACATATTACTTTCTTCATCTAAGGATATATATAACTTCTGATTAACTTAGTTGTTAAAAAATTTCAGTTATTCCTTGAGCAGCTGGAATGTGTTATTCAAGGGAAAGAGACTTCCATAAGGTGTTAACATTTTCCTTCACTATGAATTTGCCTTGATAATAATGAAGTGGAGGGATGATATTCTCTGATAATATTTAATTATCACAATTTGCTGTTTATCTAATTTTCTTATTCATTTTCTTTTTGCCCTGGGGTTTTGTTTGAATGAAATTTATCATTTTATCTTAATATGATCACAGTCATGAAGAGCTTCTTCTTAGAAGCCGAGATCAGTCAGTATCAGATTATGGTGAGTAACTTAAACCTATCTGCCCCAAATGCTTAGATCTCATTTCTTCCCCATATCTTCACAAGTTTGTTTGTTTAGTTGTTATGTTCTTCAGATTTGTTACTTCTGCTGAAATACAAAAGCGCACAGAATTTTTTGAACCTTTCATACTGGGCTTAACTAATACAACAGTCGAGCAGGTTTGTTCAATGTTGATAATTTTTATAATCCTTCCGAAATTTGCTTGTAAAGTCAATATCTGACTAAAATGAACAATACAACCATTAGTCCTATTGTTTATAAACTGTCCACAGTCAGTCTTCTGATTTTAATATGTAGTTCTCCATCTCTCATGTTATTTGTTGTGCTTTAGTTTTGCAAATCATCTGTTGAACCAATGGGTGAAGAGAGCGACCATGTGCACATTACTGCCCTTTCAGATGCATTGGGCATTCCAATCCGCGTTGTGTACCTTGACCGCAGCTCATGTGATACTGGTGGTGTCAGTGTAAATCATCACGATTTCATGCCAGTGGCGGGTGATCTCCCAAATGCTAGTTGTAGCTCTGAAAAGAACGATCCTTTCATCACATTGTTATATCGTCCTGGTCACTATGACATCCTCTATCCAAAGTGATGATGACCTTGGGGAAAAGACCTTTAGTGACTTTTTTTGTTGTGTGTGGAGCCACAACAGCTCTGCCCTGAGCTAGGTTGTTAAGGACATGCGTGGTCTGTACTTTGTTAATGTTGAATGATCAATTGTCTACAATGATATACATATTTAGAAGAGATTGATCAACAAAGTACGTCAACATTATTAATAATCAAAACTCAACTTTGCGCCTGGTGCTTTGCATGTTTTCATTCTTCCCGATATCTCCGTGCACATGGTGTTAGTGAAAGTATGGCTCCATCTGAAAAGAGTTGATTTTTCCTATACAATCATATATTAATGGTCAAAATTGTTTTACTTAAATTTAATATTGACCGGCCATTGTTTACTTGCATGGTCAATGATTAGCTTCTCTAATGTTCTCATGTCACCTAGTATGCATCAAAGAATTATATATCATTTTCGTAGCCTATGTTGTGGCTGGGATGTAATAATGGGCAAAAAGCAATGTCAGCCGGCCCAGACATGTCCAAATTTGAACGGTAACTTTTTCACTGGCCTAGCTCATTTATTTTTGACAGCTCTAAATTTAAGACACGTGAAAAGAGTTTTACGCTGTGCTTGCTTTGAAGGAAATCAGACGGGCTCAAATTTCATTGGATGAAACTTGTCACACACGTTTCACTCATTTGATTAAAGGGAAATACTGGAATGAAATGCTTTTATTTTAGCGGGACCCACACTGAAATATTTCACCATTGGATAGGTGAGAAAGGTAAAGGAGCAGCTGTTGCAACTTTGTTTTTATTTTTATTTAATTGTTTAAAAATAAAAGTATTATTATCTAACAAAAACACAATATATTGTTACATTCTTCACATTTCATCTCTCTTCTTTTCACTTCTCATCCAAACAAATAATTAACCTCCCCAAACAAGAAGAAAAAAAAAAAAGAATAAAAGTTGACTCTTTGAAATCAGGGGGGAAAAGGTTGTATTCACAGATACTTATATCAAGTATTAAAATTGAAACTTAAATATTGAAAAATTTTAATCTTCAACCAAATACAATAATACTTCCAATCATAACATTAAAGTACAGAGTATGTTCACTCAAAATGCATACATGAAAACATAAAGCACTTTTACAACTTTGATTAGTTAAAACACATTAGCAATCAGGTCCAAGGCTTCGAGCAGTGCATCCTAGCTCAAATAGGCTCTTTGGTCATTTGATAATTTGTTGGATTTCATATTCATTTAAGTAACTCAAACGTCTTTTGACCTAAACTTGATTATAGTGAAGAATATTCAAGAGGGTTCTGCGTTTTGGATGAAATACTTAATATTCATCTAAGTGTCTCAAACGTCTTTTGACCTAAACTTGATTATGCAGTGAAGCATATTCAAGATGGTTCTGCGTTTTGGATGAAATGCTTCTGCATTCACCTGTGGCATTTATGGCTAAGTGAATAATTATCTTCTAATGCTTATCTGCCAAGTTTATTCGTGTCTTTATGATGGGATTTTCCTTAACACTTTGGAGTTTTGACATAGAAAGAATTAGGCAGGAAAAAAAATTAGAGAACAAAATCGAAGACGTTATGGAAATTTTGTGTTTGAATTAAAAAAATAAAGAAATAAAGGGATTTCTTTTCATCTGACTGTTTGAGTGAAAAAGTGAAAGAAACTATATAACTAAATATACAAAGACAAATTTATCCTTAAAATGTGTATTTAAGTGCATGTGTGAAGGGAAGGGATGGTTGCAATTATTTTGTTTAGTGAAGAATTACAGCCCATCATCTAAAGTGTCACAACCAATTGGGATACAAACAAGGATGAATTAAAGTACATCATGAAAAAGGTTTATAAAGGAAAAAGGTTATATAGGCTTGGTGGTGCTAAGTTGCTTGCAAGTACAGAGAATTTTTGTTTTATCGGTTGTGTCATGGGTCTTTCCTTTTGATTTGGTGTCTGATGTAGTTCACTTGAATGCAAATAATTTTCATGAGTACTCTGACCTTTTAGTGTCATTGGTCAGGTGTGGAATAGGTATAGAAATTGTGACATACTTTTTGTTCAATGTCAATAAGTGAGAGAAAAAAAATGAGAGAAGTGAGAAAGAAAAAGGGGGGTAAATAGACAATGCAAACGAGGTATGTTGTCTAAACTCTAAACCATAGTTATTAAAACTAGATTGAATTAGATAATTTAATTAGTTGTATTGAAAACTGGTACTGATTTGGACAACTTAAAAAAATGATGAAACAAAAAATTAGTTAAAAATCGATTAAAATTGGGTAAAAATTAGTGCAAAAAATCATGCTATGCAGAGTATGAACGTGTTTGTGTCAATAACATTATATATATAAATCTTTTAAATAATATCACCACAAATAAAAAAAATGGTACAACAACATTTATGTCATTTGTTAAGATATGGATTAATAAAATAAAAGGCAAACTGGATGTGGTATAAATTTGATATCTTTTTTAGTAATTCCATATTCAAAAGTGGTTTTAATTAAAATGATTCAAATAATCGTCAATTTGTTAAATAAAAACCTGTAAAAATAAGAAACTTGATAACAAATTTATTTTATCTAAAACAAAGTCTAATCTGAACACATTGGATGGTTGAACTCAATCTAGCATTGGACAGGGAAAATACGCGCAATATTTCATGCTTACCATATCGCCACTCAAGAGGAATTGAGTTATACGCTCTTGTATCATCATTTTGGCACGTTATTTAACAGTTAATCTAAATATTTGCATTATTCAGATATTGGCACACATGTTAACTATTGAATGAAGTACTTCTGATGAACACTACTGATTTCACAAATAACAAGTGAAGACGAAATTCTCATCGTATTGATTATTCCCTTCAGTTGACGTGCTCTGTTTTCTAGCTACTTTCTTTGCAATGCGCCTGGCTTGCTACTTCTAAATTTTATCACCGATGGAGTTTCAATATTTTTATATCAAATTGATCGGAAATTACCTGTCCTTGATAACATAGGCTTGTTTTGTCAGCAACAAATTGCTTATTAATGTTGCATTCGCATCTATCTCCCCCACTAATTAAGGTCAACACAATTTAGACCATCCCCATTTGTTTTTCAATGCTTTTTTATAGTATGATGCCTTTGCTTACTGTGTATGGTAGGAAACAATCAGATCGGCAAAAACAAGAGCAATAACAATAAGTGACATCATTCAATAAGATTGTGCTAGTTTGTTTTAAAGCTTAATCGAATTTATTTTAATAAAGTTAATTTTAAACTGTTAATCGTATTTGAGACATTTAACAAAAATGATTTAAAATATTGCGGGAATTCATATTTTAGTAGTAAACTAAATAATTACTTCATCCAACTAACCAGAAATCCACAATTACACTACAGAACTGCCCCAGAAAATAGAAACAAAAATGAAAAAGGAAAAGCTCCTTGAACAAGACCCCTAGGGAGGCTAAGGGAAAAAAGAGGACAGTGAAAGGGATAAAGAGAAGAGACTAATGACCAGTGAAAATGGCTTCCTCCAGGAGTTCTTTGGAGTTATTCATCAAAGCAGGACTCAACCTGAACATGAGAGTGCAGAACTCCATCTCATCTAGAGCCCCATCACCATCCAAATCTCCTTCTCTCAGCATGCACTTGATCTCATCATCACTCATTCCTTCTAATCCAAGCAATGCTGAGTTCCTCTTCAAGCTCTCAAAAGTTATCACCTTCTTCTCTCTGTCCATCAACAACTGAAACCCATTTGTCAGCTCCTTCATAAACCCCTCAGTGCCCAATTTCTCCATCATTGCAGGGAAATAGTCCTCAAAAACAACCGCGTTCTTCTTGGATGACATTGCTGATACTTGTAACAAAAAAAAGAAAAGAAAAGAAAAGAAAAGAAAAAAAAGAAATGGACTTGTGTGTTCTGAATTGAGAACAATGGAGATGGTTATGTGAATTTATATAGTAAGATGAAGAATAAAAAGAACATTAAACAAGTGTGTTGATGAGAAGTTGACAATGAAGGTACAGAATAAAGATAAGAGGGAGGAGCAAGATAGTTGCTAAGGCACTATTTTCAGCTTGCATAAATTCGAGGCCGTTTTCTTGTCTAAAGGGTTACTCATTTTCGTGGAAGGTGCGGTGGAACCTCTGTAGTGTGACTAAGAAAAGTACAAATTACAAAATGGTCATAATGACTAATGGGGTTAGCATTTTTCCTTTCTTTCAAGAGACATAAAAGTTTGGTACTTTCTTCAGTTTTGGACCGCCCCTGCCACATCCGAACACCAAAAGGTAACAAATAAGGAAACCAAGAAGCGAAAACGAAGATGCTGTGATGTAGCTATGTAATCAAAAGAGTTGACCCACACACAATAAAAATGAGAGCCAAGTTTGATTAACTACTATCCTTGTACTCTAATTTGAGTCTTTATCAATTTTGAGATATTTGAAACTCACATGCTACAAGAGTACATGCTTCTAAAGAACCATCAAATAACCGATACACACACGCACAATTATTACATCCTTTTTGTCTTCCAGAAGACTAGTTTGTTGTAATATTATGTTAAATGTTTATAATAGCGTCTTCAATCGGTATAAAAAAGTTATTTTTTCTTCTTTTCATATTTTATACGGAACTTTGATGTGTTAGATCATAGATGCCTAGCTTGGTGGAATAATGCTACATGGATTGAGAGAGATTGAGGCATTTACTTTGTTGGTTTCCTTCTGACAAGTCCACAGGGCAAAAGCACCTAGGGAAGCTGCCGAAATCCTATAAAGAGAAGAAACAAATGGGTCAAATCATAGAAATTTCATGTAGTTTTCGAAAGTTTGGATTTAACATTGTGTTTGCACAGATTCTGTCTCAATGGGTTTGGATTTCTGCAGTTATGTGGCTTCTATGAAAGATGGTTTGCCCAAAAGTATGCCCTGTGTACTGCTTGTATGTGACAGCACTTGGGCCTACTACGGGTTCTTCATAATACAAAAAAATACCCTAACATCCTTCAATCTTTTCAATGTCTCAAAAATTATTATCAATCAAATCATTCATGATTGATCCAAAATATTGGGAAAAGTTCTTGTTCACGGGCAATAAAAATAATTCTCCCAACTTTTTTTCACTTGAAATCTTAGTTTATCACCCAATAAAATTATTCAAATGTTATCAATTTTAAATTAAATTTGTTTACTTTTAATCCTGAAAATTATTTCATATCTCAAATCTTTTCAAGTCTTTAAATATTCAAATACAAAATTACTACCTTCAGATATTTTTTTAATAAAAAATAACTACTATTATTTGTTTTCCCTAATTATAAAAAGTAAATATTCATTTTTAATTCTTTAATTTTAATTTTTTTATAATGTGAGATTTTTGTAAACAAGATACTCACCCATTACTCATAAGTTTATTTATTTAATAGAAGAGTTGCCAATTCGACCATTTATTATTATGGACACTTTTAGATTGCACTATAAGTTTATGACATGTAATTACTTTTATTGTTATTAATAAATTAGTTATTTATTTTATAAAAAGGATCAGAAGAGCATATTTTATAAAAATGGGCAAATAATGAATAGAATACTGACTAAAGTCTGACGTAGTCAATGACGTTTCCAAAACAAGAAAAGAAAAACAACAAATTCACACAGGTTCAACGATGTGGGTGCGATCACTAGCCAGTTTGCTCTTTTGCCTTTTTGTGGTCACAATAGCCATTTTGGTCTTGAATTGCAACACTCTCTCAGAAGATTCCCAATTGGTTATGGCTATAGGAATTGTATAGCTCTACACTCTGCATTTCAAATGGCAACTTTTACTAAGTTACTAGTTTCTTATTCTGCTTCACCCAAATAATATCGAAATATTGTTCTCTTTTCTTCTAAGGAAAAAAAGTTCTCAGTGTTCATGTAATATTTATTTCAGCTTTTTGACACTATCAGGTAATTTTTTTTTTAAAAAAAATAGTTTTGTCTGAAAATAAAATACTAGATTGGATAAAATCTATCGTGTAAATCTGAAAAAAAAATAAAAATTAAATGCACAGTCTGAACAGATGTCCACCCAAGAGTGAAAGAGCAATAAAAATAAAATGTGTTTCAAAGTACATTTCACTTAATATTTTAAGTTGGTGGTCCACTGCAGTTCAAAAAAGTTGGAGAAGTGCTGTGGACTATTCTTGCTAGTTATTTAGAAAATAAGGAAAAAAACAAGGTAATATTTTTATATAGATTTAGTTAATACATTATTTTATCGTTAGCTGTTAATATCATTAGTTTTGATATACTAAACTTAAATTTTGAAAGGATTAAAAAATTTATAATATATATATAGCTAATAATAAAATTAATTAATTGTATTATAGTTAAGAATATATTTATTTATCAACGGAAGTTGATTTGAGACTAGATTAAATTAGATGAAAAATAAAAAAAAATATTTATTTTATTAAAATAATTAATAAATATATTTTTTGAACAAATTATTTCTTTGTTAACATTGAATAATGCTATTTATTATATAAAATAATAAAATTTGTAACGGTTCAGAATGTAATTAGTGTAGTAGCTAAAATATCAATTAAAATATTTTTAATTTTTTTAAATTGAAAGTTTAAATAACGTTAGTTGTTTTATATTGAAAGAAATTTAATGTGTAATGGTAAATAATAAAATCGTTCAGAAAAAAAGATTAAAATTTAAATATTATTTTTTTAAAATTAAATTATTGAATAATAAACACATTAAATTAATAAATTGTTTTATTGTTAAATTTGAGTAATGTTAGATATTATATATTCAAATAAATTAAATTTATAATGGTTTAAAAAACATTTTTGCAGTAAAGAAAATGGTAATGCATATATTTTTATTTTTAAAATTAAGTAATAAATTTATTTAATTAATAAACTTTTTATTATTAAATTTGAGTATTGTTTGTTATTATATATTCAAACTAATTAACTTTGTTTCTTAATAAAGAAATATAAATTTTAATACATCTTATTTTAAAATTAAATTATTTAATAATAAATATATTAAGTAAAGAAATTATTTTTGGTGTTAATATTATTTTTTCTTTTGGTATTAATATTTAACTTAAAATTATCATATATTTTTAAGTGTAAGTATAAATATTATTTTTGTATTTTGACAATATGGATGGTTGTAATTTGTGGTTTGCAATTAAATGTAATAATTAATATATTATTTAATATAGGATTGACTTTTTCTTTACCCAACAAATATATTAGACTTGACTAAATGATTTATTTTTATTGAAACTTCAAAGTGTTCACATATTTAAAGATATATGATGTCATGACCCAAATTTAGGCACATGAATAGCATTTTGGCTAAGTTGCATAAAAATATAAGTTAACTTGATAAGTCTATTTAGAAGCAAACATAAAAAATTAAAAAAAAAATTAAACAAGTAATATGAGAAATTATTAAAACTTTAACAAATCTTCTTTTGTGTTTTCATTATTCTAATATATAACAACCAGTCAGAATCAATCTACAATTTAACCATAGTAAATGGAATTCAAAATTTTCATTAAATCAATACTAAAACATTTATTCTATAACCAAAATAAAAGTCTAACTCTCAAATAATTGTGTAATATAACAAAAATAAAATAAGATCACTAATGGGGTTTATTAATGAATATTCTACTAAAATAAATTAATATTTTTAGTAGCTTATAATGAGGGTATAATAATTATCGTAATGGGATAACAAAAACTTTAAAAAAATATTAATTAAAATATTAGTACCTTATTTACGTATAAAAAAAATATTAGTACCTTATAACATCCATTTAAACAAATAGAATTTTTCTTAAATTGGAATGTGCAACACTAATAATTTAGAATAATGAAACGGTAATTCAATTTGAAGATGCTGGTGATTATTCATGGTAGCTGGTAATCCTACAAGTTTGTATAATTTTTTTTTCCAGCTTCTATAAATCTTAATCATCTTTAAAATGATTTCCTTTGCTTGTTTCTCTTTTTTTGGAACCAATACCATGAGATAAAAATGACAATAGTGCTAAAATGATCAAAATTTTCCCTAATTTGGACGACCCAATGCTAATAATTTCGCATAAAAAATTAGTAATTAAGTTTTAATCATAGTGTTAGTTATGTACATAAGCTGGTAATCTTATAGATCTATACAAATTTTTATTTTTTACTCCTCTAATAATTTGGCATAAAAAAAAAAACTAGTATTTTAGTTTTAAAGATGATGGTAAATATGTGCAAAAGCCAGTTGCAGATCTTTAAATATGACAAATGCTGATATTTTAGAATAATATATTGAGAATTTAGTTGAAAATTGTTGGTAATTAATTGAAAATGCTACACGTCCTTTTTTTTATTTAATTTCGTCACTCCCATAAGTTTTACTAAAGCTTGAAGCTTATTTGAGTTAATTCCTACGGATAAAACTGAGCTATTTTAACTTAAAAATTAATAAAAATATAATATGCTTAAATTAAATTCAAATATAATTTGTTTTAACAATGATAAATGTATAAATATTGATTCAAATAAAAATTAACAAAAATATAATATGCTTAAATTAAATTCAAATATAAGTTTTTTAACAATGATAAATGTACAAATACTGATTCAAACACATAATTCATACATATACCAAATCTATTACTATAGTCAAACCCACTATAAGGGCTATAAACCTTTATACAAAGTTTTGATTCAAGTCCCATGACTATTCTAAAATAAGAAAGTATGGACATTTTTACAACAACATCCAATATCAAATATAGCCTACCTTGGTGCTAGTGTGTAAAAGTAGTTGATCATTTATTTGTCCTTCATAATGATTCACATATTTTTCATTACAAGTATTTGCTAACTTCTTTTCAGTAGTACTTAACTGCATATTAGGAGTGAGTTGGCC